AAACAAGATTTAAATAATAGCTATCCATAAATCCAGCCTGACAGAAAGTACTAGAAGTAAAACCCAAACCATGGAAGCTAACTGCACCCACAAAAACACAGGCGACAAATAACCTCACACCAGCAAACCCTAAAGAAGGGAAACACACAACACAATTACTGAAAAATAACAATGCTAAGAGAAAAGTGCATAGCACTAAGTGCCTACATAAAGAAAGTGGAGAAATTTCACTCTAGTGACTTAACAGCACACTTGAAATTTCTAGAACACACACAAGCAGACTCAAACAGGAGATGTAGAGAACATGAAATAATCAAACTGAGGGCTATAATTAATAAAACAGAAACAAAGAACACAACACAAAGAATCAATGAGACAAAGCAGTTGTTTTTTGAGAAAATAAACAAGATAGAAAAACCCTTATCCAAACTAACCAGAAGTTAGAGAGAGAACATCCAAGTTGTTAATGAACAAGGGGACATAACAACAGACACTGAGGAAATCCAGAGAATCATTAGTTCATACTACAAAAACTTGTACTCCACAAAATTGGAAAATGGAAAAGAAATGGAAAATTTTCTGGATAGGTACCACATAACAAAATTATATCAAGGCTAGGAAGACAACTTAAATACACCTATAACCTGAAAGAATAGAAGCTGTCATCAAAAACCTCTAATGCCCCCCCCCCAAAAAAAATCCAGGGCAGGATGATTTCAGAGTAATATTCTACCAGAAATTCAAAGAAGAGCTAATACCTATACTTCTTAAAGTGTTCCACATAATAGAAACAAAAGGAACACTGCCAAATTCTTTTTATGATGCTACAGTTACTCTGATACTGAAACCACAGAAAGACTCAACCAAGAAAGAGAATTACAGACCAATTTCACTCATGAACATAGATGCAAAAATACTCAATAAATAAATGGAACATCTTGAAACTGAGAAGCTTCTGCAAAGTAAAGGACACAGTCATTAAGATGAAAGGTAGCCTACTGAATGGGAAAAGATCTTCAGCAATCCCACATCAGACAGAGGACTGCTCTCCAAAATATATAAAGAACTCAAGAAATTAGACATCCAAATTCCAAATAATCCAATTAAAAAATGGGCTACAGAACTAAACAGAGAATTCTCAACAGAAGAATCTCAAATGGCCAAAAGACACTTAAGGAAATGTTTAACATCCTTAGCCATCAGGGAAATGCAAATCAAAACAACTCTGAGGTACCATTTACACCAGTTAGAATGGCTAAGATCTAAAATACCAATAATAGTTTATGCTGTAGAGGGTGTGGAGTAAGAGAAGCACTTCTCCATTGCTGGTAGGAATGAAAACTTGTATAACCACTCTGAAAATCAGTATGGCAGTTTCTCAGAAAACTGGGGTCAACCTACTCCTGGACCCAGAAATACAACTCTTGGGCATATACCCAAAAGATATTCAATCATAGTACAATTACATTTGGTCAGCTATGTTCATAGAAGCATTATTTGTTATAGCCAAAACCTGGAAACAACCTAGATGCCCCCAACCAAAGACTGGATAAAGAAAATATGGTACATTTACACAATGGAGTACTACTCTGTGGTAAAAAGCAATGATTTTTTGAAATTTGCATTACTAATGGATGAAAATAGAAAAAAATCCATCCTGAGTATGTAGCCCAGGCCCAGAAAGATGAACATGGTATTCACTCACTCATAAAGGCATATCAGCTGTAAAGCAAAGGATAACCAGGCTACATTACATGACCTTAAAAAAGCCAAGTAACAAGAAAAACTTATATAGAACCACCTGGGAAGGAAAAATAGGCAAGATCACCTGACAAAATTGGGAACATAGGGATGGGTAGAGAAGGGATGACTGAAGGGGAAGAGAAGGTGAGAAGGGGAAGGGTGAGGAGAACTTGAGGGAGCCGGATAGTCAAAATGGAGGAAGGGTGGAGCTGAGAGCAAGGAAAGAGATATTTTGATTGAGGAAACAGCAAAGGACCAAACTAGACCCTCTGAATGTTGTGACAGTTGTATGCCTAGGCTGGACTGCAAGGCCACTGGCAGTTGCACGAGGATTTATCCCTACTGCTTGACTGGCTTTTGGGGAACTCATTCTCTTTAGATGAATACCTTGCTCAGCCCAGATGGAGCATGAAGGGCCTTGGATCTTACCCAAAGAAATTTGCCTTACTTTCTCTGAGGAATGGAATGAGGTGGGGGTCTGGAAGAAAAATGGAAAACAGGGGAGGAGAGGAGTGAATGGGAATCATGACCTGTATGTAAAATGAAAAAAGATAGTTTGATTTCTTTTAAAAAAATAAAATAAAAACTAATAAAAAGAATTATTTTAGCTACATAGATTTTATGCCATTTTATTTATTGATGATTGTCTTTATAATTCAGCTGATGTGTCATTTGTGGAATTTTGTTATACAGTACCTAACAATTTTTATGAACAAAGTGATTAAATTTAATTTCAACAAAAAAAGGAAAGAAAAGGAGAGGGTTGAAGGTGTGGCTCAGTGGCAAAGGACGCTTTCAAAGGGCCTGAGTTTGTTTCCCAACACAAACATTGAGGGGTTCACAACCCACCTGTAATTGAGATTCAGGACATCTGATGGTGTCTTCTGGGCTCCTCAGATACTACATTCATATGCCCATCCCATTCTCCCCGACTGAAAATAAAGATAAAATCTACAAAGAAAAGACCAATTAGAAAACAATAGGGAGGATGGGAGGACAGATAAAAATAGGACTGTCTTTCTTTCCTCTCACCTTCCTCCCTTCTTTTCTCCTTCACTTTCTTTCCTTCTCTTGTGGTCCTGATCAGCCATGGATGTTAGTTATTTCTTTAGTCTTTATCACAGAATTTGTTTTAGAAGGCTAAAGTTATTTCTCAAATGCAAATGACCAACTAGCTCATCTGCCAATGAGATGGAAGATGGAATTGTGACTTCAATGCTAAGTTAAGTGGAAGGAGAGGCAGTGGTGTATCAATAGCATGAGTGAAGAAATTTGGCAGCAGGATCTTGACATTTAGATCATGACTCAGATGTGATCATGCTAGAACCAGAAACTGGCACCATGGGCTCATAACTCTGTAGTTTCCTAGTTATTTGAAGAAACTGGAGGAGTTAGTTTTTAGATACCCTGGAAGTCAACAATGGAACAAATGAACAATTAGTTCTCAGCATTAATTTTCATCATTTTTATAGTATTGAGAGACATCCTTTTTTTAAAAACTAACCCTTAGCTGAGAAAATACATTGAAATTTCAATCTGTGTTTTCTTGATGATCCAAGTCTCTGATTTCATTATAAAACACACGGAGCTATTAAACTCAGCTTTCCACATGCCAAGTAAGCTGCCTATTGAGTCCTTTCCCCATGACCTTACAGAATTATCTACTTCCACTCTCTTCCTTTCCTCACTTATCATTCTTTCTTTCCTCTCTGCCTGTTATCTCTTTCCCACTACTTTTTAATTATAGCAGCAGCTACTCTTCTATCAGTCAAAGCAAGTTGCTTACCCTGATTCTGGAACTTGCCTTACAAATAATTGGCTTTTGAGGAAACCGTAAGGTCAGACTCAATCCTACCACTCTGACATTTATGAAGTTTGGCTAATGATTGGATTTCCTTTTTTCCCTCCCTCCCTCCCTCCCTCTCTCTCTCCCTCCTCCCTTCTTCCCTCCCTCTTTTCTCTCTTTCTTTTTCTTCTTTCCTTTTTTCTATTCCTTTCTTCCTTACTCTTTCTTTCTTTCTTTCTTTCTTCCTTCCTTTCTTTCTATATGATCTTATCACATAGCTCAGTCCATCTTGAGCACATTGTGTAGTTATGGCAGGTATTAAACAGGTAAGTGATGCTCTTGTATTCAGTATAAGTTTTAGGATTATAGGTATGAGAGACCATGTCCAGCTGAAGGTATAGCTATCTTTCTGTTTAGTTTTGTGGTTACTTTTGAGATATAGCAGAAGAGTTAGAAGATTTATCATTCATAGGGAAATTTGAGTTATTGGAAAGGCATTTTTAAGGCTTTCTTTTAGAAGACTTAGATTGCATTACTGGAGCCAACAGTTTGTCTGGGCTAAGATCTAATAGTGATATTTGATGATAAAATAATTTTGCTAGGTTGAAACTAGAAAATAAAGTGATAATTTACACTGTTTTCTGGGCAACAGAAATGATAAATGATTGGATAAAGAAAGGGTAGCCTTGGGTTGTTTGTCATGTTTGGAACTGAGCTGAAAGGTTATTTAGAAATGGATGTTTAATAACTTTAGATGGGGCTATATCTGCTGGACAGTTAAGACAGATTTATTTTTGTTTTAGACCTTAACAAAAGGAATGTTCCTCACCAAACTATGCAGCTGGCTTCTCTGTTTCAAAAACAATATTAAAGGACAATTAAGACATAGATTCTGGAAATAGAATGTCTGCAAATCTTAAATTCTTCTCTAAGCACATCTATGACCGGGGGTACACAATTCCTGGCTTTACAACTATGTTCTGGACATTGTGTTCTATTAAAATTATGTACTGAAAAGGCAAAAGATTTATACGATCTGAAAAGAAAGCAGAGTATTAGAGGGGAACTTGTAGAATTGGATTTTCTCCTTCCACCATGTGGGTTCCAGGATCAAACTCGATCAACTTTGGAGATTGAGACATCTTGATGGCTTTTAAAAATTACTTATCTGTTTCTGATTATTATGTGTGTGTATATGTGATGTGGATATGAGTGCACATGTGCCATGATGGGTGTGTGTGAGGTCAGAGGAGAACTCCGTGGAGGCAGTTCTCACTTTCCACATTCGTGTTGGCCCTGGGAATTGAACTGAAGTCACCAGGCTTGCACAGTAAATGCCTTCACCCACTGGGCCATCTTGTAGACACCACCTCAAAGTTTTTATCCTTTTCCCTCCAACTCCTGAGTTACAGGCCAGAAGCTGACAGAAATGTTTTATTCAGTGATGAGATTTGAACCCAGAGCATCAAACATGCTAGCCTTGCCCTCTCGGCCCCCATGCCGCCCTGGCCACCTGTCTCCAAAACCCTCTGGCTTCTACTACCAAGACAGATGGCACTCAATGTTCTGTTCTAGCCGTTCTTTCCCCACTGTGAGCAGCATCCTGAACTGCCTGGCTGGCCACATTGTCTACATGATGGGAGATTCCACCCTTCGGCAGTGGTGGGAGTATCTGCGAGACACCGTGCCCTCTCTGAAGCCAGTTGATCTACATGTCCAATACCAGGCAGGTCCCCTGATGGCTGTGGACACAACTCGGGGGACAGTGTTGCACTGGAGGGCCCACAGCTGGCCCCTGCGCTCTCGTCGCACTCCAGTGGCCTCCTTGCACTCTGTGGCCAGAGTTCTGCATGGCCTGGCCGGGGGTCCCTACACAGTGGTGGTGTTCGGTTTGGGAGCCCACTTCACCACCTTCCCTCCATCCATCTTTGCTCGAAGACTGGCAGGGATTCGGGAAGCTGTAAAAGCCCTGCTGGACAGGGAACCCAGTACTCTGGTGGTTATCAAACTGGCCAATACTGGCTACAAATCCGTGTATGGCAGTGACTGGCTCACAATCCAGGTGAACAGGTTCCTCCATGCTGCCTTTGATGGTCTCCAAGTGGCCTTTGTGGATGCATGGGAAATGACCTCCAGCTTGGCTGTACCAGACGACATCCACCCAAAGAGGCTTATTGTCCGCAATGAAGTGGAATTATTCCTGTCCTTCATCTGTCCCACCTGAGTGCTCCTGAGGGACCTGAGAATGAATAAAGGCAGAGCCTGAGTTGGGGCCATCAAAATGGTGGACAGCAAATGATGGGTAGCTGAGGCTACCCCTGGCTCACCCACTGTAACACTTGGGTCACCATATTTTATACATCTTTCTATGGACCACACGGATAAGTCTAATTTTATATAAATGAGATGATATTAAAAACAAATTATGTACTGAAACCTAATCCCAATAGCATGTTAGGAGACAAGGGCTTTGGGAGACAACATGGCCACCAGAGAAGAACATTCACAAGTGGGATGAGTGTTCTTACTAAAAGGAAACAAAAAGCCGAGGTCTTTTCATTTACCATTCGAAGCTACAACAAAAAAAGCATCTTTAATTAATGAGGAAATAGAAGGTCTTGTGTCATAGGACCTGTGACTTCCTTCATCGTGGACTTGCCAGCTTCACAACTATGCAGAGCACACTCCTATTGTTAGAAAATCAGACAGTCTCTGCTATGTTTTTACAGTAGTTCAAATATTGACTATTGAGGTTTATCCTATGTCTCAGTTTCTACAAGTGTGAAATAGATATAATAGTACTGATTTTGTAGGCATGTGATGACGTTTACATGGTTGATTTTGTGTAAATCAGTGCAGGTGGCACATCAAGTTTATCACATAAGAAGGTCCTGCTTCTTTCTTAGCAGCCTTTAAAGATGATTTTGTTTAAGAGGTGTGTATTCAACACAGAGCCAAAATGTATTGTCTTCCTGACACTACTGCAGGCGTTTAGTCTTGTCTTTGTTCTCCTACAACATATACAGAAGCAAATGTTATAAGTGAAGATCTATCTATTCTATGATTGTGAATTAAATTTAATATGTCATTTTAAGAAACAAATCAGAATAGAACAGAAAATATTTGCACATATTATAAAGCCACAACAGTAAGTATTGCTTTGTGAAACTTTTGTTTCAGTAGTTTGATTATGCTTCTCTAGGACACAATGGCTCATTTGTTTTCTTTCTGTAAGTTATATTTGATATTTCCAAAGGCAATTACATACAAAGGACCTATGAGGAAATGAAGTTGTTTGTCTTGTTCAAGTCTTCCCAGTACATTTGCTATGGCCTCATCAAATTATGCCAAATTCATGTGGGAAATGAACAGATGAGAAAGAAAACATGTAATTAATGATGTTTTTCATTTAACATTTGTTGAAGAATGACAAAATCAGGTACACATGGTGGTTACTGAGAACTTTTAAAGGAAAATTGTTTATCTCTTTCAAGTTGAGACATTTTTGAAGGTGTGGAATTTTTCTGTATTTTGTATGGAGTATGCCTAGTATAATTTGCAGCAGGTTTACATTTAATGGTAGATTGATGAATTAAGCAATTAGTTGGAGGTAGACTTATTAGTGTAATTATTCAAAAATTGCTTATGTTATGCTACAAAGGGCTGAAATCCTTAGAGCAAATTTAGTGTTACATTTTCATGATTATCTTATGCTGAATTGAGCATCACATTCATTTATGTGGCCATTCCTCTGAGATGAGAAGTGTGGTGCAGTATAAAGGCAGATATTGTAGCCATATATGCATCAAGTCTTAACAGCTGCTTATCAGGGATTGTAAAACTAACTTGGATTTTATAAGTCTGCATATTAGTATTCTTGGTGGCATAAATCTTAGTTGTGAAACTGGTCTGAGTCCTATGGAGTGTTTAGCACCATTTATGTCTTTTTCTGAGGATACTTTTATTTTCTTCCCTTCTAGTTGAGGAACAAAGTTGTTGTATATGTACATGCTTTTTGTGCTTTTAGCTTTTTTCTGTTTGCTTGATGTTTCCTGTGTCTCAGTTACTACAATTGTGAAAAAGACACTGACAATGGAAACACACTTTCAATCTTTTTTATTTTTATTATATGTGCCTGTTTGTTTTCTAAAGAGAGGAAAAAAAAGGTGAGATGTTGGATGGATGGGGTTGTGAGGTAGAAGAGAGAGGAAACCATGATGAGAATTCATTGTATGAAAAACTCTAGTTTCATAAACAACATCAACAACAACAACAACATATTGGTGTAACATTACTGTTATTGGAAAATGCCTTCTACTATGGAGTTGGGTAAAAATATTTTCCTTGCTTTTGGGAGTTTCCATTTAGAGTCAGTCATACAGATCATTTCACAGACTCTTTTTCCTAGATATTAAAAATTAAATTTCTCCATATGTATCATTGAGAAACTAGAAAAACTGAGAAGGGTTGTCATTGTTACTCTAATTACAATGTTAGTGGTTAATAGTTCATGAGTTTATTTATCCAGTTGATACATTCTTTTCTATACTGGGAAGGAAATCAAACATAGAACTGACTCTTCCTCTTTTATGATCCAACTGTTATTATGTGTAAAACACTAATGTTACTAATAGCTTTTTCGCACTGGGGACTTGAGCATCTTCTCTGCGTAACAATGACTGACTTTAGCAAGATCCAGGTAATAAGAAAAATAGTAGGACAACAGACTATTTTTTCATATGTATTACCTCTCTGGATGCAAAATTTTCCAAGTCACTGCACTTCCAAGATCCTAAGCTAGAAGCTAATAGAGTTTATTATTTGCCTGATGTTAACTTAATTTTATAAGCATAGGTTTTCTAACTTAAAAAGAGTTCTTCCTATTGCAACTGTGATCCTGGTCACTGAATTAAGTAGTAACTTCCATAATGAATGCTAGCCAGTAGAACACACGATGTAAGAATCTCATTGTGCTCACACAATAAAATAGTGTATTTTATGCCAAATTTCATGATTTTGGTTGATTTTCTTCAGATGCTTTCTAAGTAAATTGTGGTGCTCTCAGAACACATGAGTTGTGGCCTCAACAGTGTGGAGAGGGGCAAAGAAAGAAAGTAATAGGACTATGAAGCATGCTTGAAGCCTATCTTTGAAAGGAATGCATCCTTTTGTCCTAAGTCTATGGTCTCACCTAAGTGCAGCAGGTTGGGAATTATGAAGCACCTGAGTGTTTAGGATAAACAAGGAATGACACATTGGGCAGAAAAAAATTATCTCTCAGAAAATATGAAGCAGAGTTCAACCTAAAACAAGCCAAATATAGCGTTGTAGAAATCATGTTTCTCTGGTAATAGTAGGCTAGTAAGCGCATATCAAACTCTTCTGCATTCCTAGCATCATGTTTGGGTACTAAGAACGCAGCGGCACCTTTGTAAAGATACTGGGCCAAGAAAGAAACTGAAGCCCAGTAAAGAGCCACTGTTTGCCCTGTGAACTAGGACACTCCACAGAATCTCATGCTGGACAAAGCACGGATTTAAAGTGAGATGCGAGAATGCCCCCATTTAGCAGACAAGGAAAGTGAAGAGTGATGACGTTAGGCAAGAAGCAGAAAGAACCAGACATTCTCAGCAAGGTTTGGAGGCAAGGTCATTTTGCTCATATAAGGGACTCTGACTGATGAGGTTCTCAGGAGTTTTCATTTCCTGAGCCTGGCTAGAAATGGCATGATGAGATCTGCCCCCAATTTCAGCTTCAAAACAAAGAAGAGGTTGCCCTGTAGGTTTGGAAAGAAAAAGAAAAATGAAATGACATTGTTCTACTTTCCTTCTAGGATGGTCTTCTCCTTCCGGCTCACATTGTTTGTTCAGCATTCACTGTACAAACAGTGTGAATACAAAGAGAAGAATCTTAAGAAGAACTTTAGGATCTTCACAAATAAAAAGTCGATACATAGCTAGTTCACTAGATGGATGGATCAAACAGAGAGGTCAAGAGATAAAAAGTCCAAAGATACTTTCATGTATAGTTATAAAAATAGTCATGGCTGTTAGAATGAATGAAGACAGCTTTATGGATGGCAGTAGAATTTCCAGTTTCCTGAAGGAGACCCACATAACAGAAATCAATGAGAAACCTCCGTTCTAGCAAGGGAATTTGTAGGCGGATGGGAATAGATAGCTCCCGTGGTTAAGGGAAGGAAGTAGAATTCATTTATCATGAAGAGTGGAGCAGGTGCTTTATGGTAGCAAAGAGTTGGATGATGAGAGGAGTAGGGCTACTTTTAGGAGCTTATTACAAGGCCACTGTCTCACACTGCATCTAACCTTGTGTTGTAATATGTAGCCCAATAAGCTGCTTTAGGAAATAGGGCGTCATAAGGGTTGGTTTTTGCTGAGACAACGTGGTGCTGACACAGTGGTTTGTTGTAGATGGATGACGATGCTGGACATGGGAGTGAGAGAGAAGTTAGGAAAAAATGGCTGACACAAGATATCTGAGGAACCCCACAGTTCAGTATGCAGTGATTAAATCTGTTAAAATGACTTTTTTTTTTTTTTGGACAGTGTGAACTTCTGTGTGATTCTGCATAAGTAAAGCCTTGAGGCCAAATTTGTGAAGCTTTGCCTGAGGTTTTGCCCTCACCAGGCTGCCCGTGTGTTAGTGTATCAGCCTGTGTAACTACCATCATGAAACCTATGTGCTGCCCACCTGTGTGCAGCTCACGTACACCCATGTTTACGTGGTTGCCTAGCAGCCTTCATCTGGAGTGAATCAAGCATGCCTGTCAGTCTATATGACTCCTCAAATTCCGTTTGGCTTCTTAGCCTCCTGTGACCCTGGCATCTGAGCAGGGACCTCACAGCTACGCTGGAAAGTAATTTTACTTGCTCAGGCCAAATAGGCTAGGGGAGTGTTTGTTCTTTAATTGAAAAGCTATATGAGAATAGAAAGTTTTCCTGATGAGCTATCATCTGCATCAATAAAATTTGATTTCCCAGTGGAAGTGAACCACACACTTTAAACAGAGTAACCTGTTTGCAACAGACACAGGCAACAGACTTTCAAGATTTTATTTGCTGGATTTGTGAAAAGATTGATATAACTCTATTAGTTATGGAGTCACCATGGTAGCTGAAAAATATCTTTTCCTGATGAGGGAAAAAGATGAAGAACCAATATTGATTCTTTCTATAGCTTGTTCAAATCAGCTCTTTAGAGTTC